GGGGGGGGGTGGGTGGGTGCGGGCGGACGGGCGTGTGTTTCACCTCCAAACTTTTTTGTTTTTTCCCGCTTCGTCTTCCGCCGCGTCCGGACAACCATGCCCACTTCGTCTTTTCCGCGAAAAGAAAAGCGACTGCCAAACGAAAAAAAAAAAGAAGCGAAAAGAAAAGCGAGTGAAAAACGAAATAAAAAGAAATGAAAACTCTTTTCCGCGAAAAGAAAAGCAACTGACAAACGAAAAAAAAAAGAAACCAAAAGAAAAGCGAGTGAAAAAAAAAGAAAAGTCAAAGGAAAACGACGCGTTCTTGCTATCCGACGGCGGGCGCTTCGAGATGTTCCCTCTTATCGACGCCCGCCGCCGCACGGCCTTGTGGGCGCGCTCTTTCGTTCTTTGGCGTGCTGTGAACAATTCGGTACGCGCACCGCTCTGCACAAAGCCGCTCCCTCGATCGCCTTCATCCCCCGGCCCGCATCAAAAGTTGAACCCGATTCCGGCGCGCAGCGGACCTCCGGCCTCCCCCCGCGGCCAATGCTCCTTAAGGGTTAGGATTAATCAAAAAAAAAAAAAAAAAAAACATTATCGAATTATCCAATCGAATCAATCGATTCGATTGGATCTTGATTTCCAAATCAAGAACCAATCAAATCGATCCATTCAATTGGATCAATCAATCAATCAATCAGTCAAACAATCAATCAATCAATCAATCAATCAATCGATGAAAAAAAAAAAGAGAAAATGTTATATATTCGAATCAATCGATTCGATTGGATCTTGATTCAAATTGATTGATTGATTGATTGATTGATTGATTGATTGATTGAGTGAGTGAGTGAGTGAGTGATTGATTGATTGAGTGATCGAGGAGGAGGTGGAGGAGTTGGTGGTGGAGGTGGAGGAGGTGAAAGCCGAGGAGGAGGAGGAGGAGGACGAGGAGGTGGAGGCTCACCTTCAGCGACGGGTAGACGAGGAGCAGCTCCTGGCGATCGCTCCAGCGGCGACAGCTATGCCTGCAGCAGCGGAACAGCGGGAGGAAGAGGAGGAGGAGCAAAGGGAGGAGGAGGAGGAGGAGGAGGAGGTGGTGGAAGACGAGGAGGAGGAGGAGGAAAAGGAGGACGAGGAGGAGGAGGAGGTGGAAGACGAGTAGGAAGAGGAGAGGGAGGAGGAGTAGGTGGAGGAGGTGAAAGCCGAGGAGGAGGACGTGGAGGCTCACCTTCAGCGACGAGTAGAGGAGGAGCAGCACCCGACGATGGCTCTAGCGGCGGCGGCTATGCCTGCGGCAGCGGAACAGCGGGAGGAAGAGGAGGAGGAGGAGCAAAGGGAGTAGGAGGAGGAGGAGGAGGAGGAGGTGGAAAATGAGTAGGCGGAGGAAAAGGAGGAGGAGGAGGGGGAGGTGGAGAAGCTGGAGGTGAAAGCCGAGGAGGAGGAGGAGGAGGAGGAGGAGGAAGAAGAGGTGGAGACTCACCTTCAGCGACGAGTAGAGGAGGAGGAGCACTCGGCGATGGCTCCAGCGGCGGCGGCTATGCGTGCAGCAACGGAACAGCGGGGCAGCGGGCAACAAGCAGCAGGGCAGCGGGGCACCGAGCAGCGAGCAGCAGGGAAGCGGGCCAGTGTTCAGCAGGGCAACGAGCATTTGGGCAGCACGGAGCGCAGCGCGATTTCAAATTCAAAATTGGCCCGATCTGGGCAGTCGATCTTGGTGGACCGACGACTGAGATCGGGCCTTTTTTTTTTCAAAATTTGTGGGTCCCTCTCGGGATCCACCACAACGAGGTGCTGCCAGGGGTTGATCAAAACCCCTTGGCGCCCCTAGACCCTAGGAAGAAGCCCTATGCCTATTTTGTGCAGGGCCCGGAACATTTATTTCCGGGTTCTTCTGGGGGTATTTTTCTGGCCGGATATTCCGGATGGTCTAGGGCCATCCAGATATCCAGAAAAATAACTTAGCCAAAAACTACATGCGACTGCAATGACTTGCTGATTCTGACTGCCGAGATTGACTGCGAGGCTGTACACTAACCGGTAGGGTTAGATTCGTCATTTTGTTTGGCTTAGGGCTAACCGAGAGACCTACCTGTAAGGAAATTCGTGAGGGACATATCTGCAAATCTGGGAAAATATCGGCCCTGTACTAACTCAAATTCCTACAGCTACCCTAACTGCATAGAGCAGGCCTGGGCTACCCCTAGGACAGACAGGCCCTAAGTGGCCTATGCTGATAGACGGTCCTATAGCCTATAGCCGGGTCCGATAGAGGCCGAGAGGCCGAAACAGAAACGGTACCGGTCGGTTAGTCAGTCCGGTCTAGGTCTAGAGTACTCTATAGATAGGTTAGGCACATCTTCTCGCGAAGCAGCATTGGAGAAGCCAAGCAAGTTGGTGGCGGTATCTGTCTGCAGGCGGCATCCTGAGACCTCGCCGTTGACAGCAGCCCTAGCCGGCCCAGTCGGAGCCTGCCATAGCTGGGGCATCCTCAGCGCATCTACCCTTGAGGGTATCTGCGTCTGGCCGGGCTACATCGAGGCTCTACACTATGTACTCGTGGGTGGTGGCAGCCATAACTGCCTGTTCCTTCGCCAGAGTTGTCCATCGACATTGAAGACTTCATCGCAGGACCTGTTCTTCATCTGAGGGTTGGCGCTGGCCTCTAGGAGGCCATTCTGATGTGGCGCTACTAACTGGGTGTAGGATAGAGAGTGGGGTGTGAGTTCTGAGAGTGGCGAGATACCGGAACAAACTCTGTTACGATAATTGTTTGAGTTGGCTCAACATCGGTGTCATTTCAATTGTTATCCTCGCAGGTTCTTCTTGTGATTGGTTGTTGGGAGTTTGTGAGAGAGTGAGAAACACTGTGTGTCTTCTCCCCATCTGTGCATAGCTGTATTCCGCTGCCTACTCTGATCTGTGTGCAGTGTGGACTTTGTCTCCTCTCCCCCTTGTCTTATGCATGTATGGGCGTGTATGAGATTGTTTGAGTGTGAGTGGCGGTAAAAATCGTCAGACAACCAAGTTCATAACAGTTGGTATCGGAGCAGGATTGGAATTGGAACACCGAGGGTTGAGCGCACTGAGGCATATTCTTCATCTAGCGATATGCTAGCGAGAGCTTTATGGCGATTCATCTTCCCCAGTACTCAGTTAGTAGGGAAGAAGACTTTCAACGGTGGATTCAGGTGTTCAGTGGTTGCACTTAGCAAGCGCACTGAGCCTGTCAGGGCGCTTGTCAGGAAGTGGCGAGTTCAAGGCTAATTCGCCATAGCCAACGTTGAGGGTAGTGTTGCGAAGTACCCCAAAGTGGCGAATTAACCCTGAGGACATCAGGGAACCCTGAGCGACATCATCCCTGGGTAGCGCTGGCAGAGATTGACACAGTATATCAATCTCCAAAAGAAATAACCCTATCTGGGGCTATTTTTAGCATCAGCGGCTACTATGCACTATGGCGAGATATTTTGGTGTTGGCATACTAGGCGCCACAGGACCAGATACAGGGTATCTGGATTAAGGGAGTGTAGTGCTATAGGATCCGGAGGAGGATCAACAAGTTTGAACCAGTTCTGTGCGTGGGATTATCAAGAGGAATATCTGGAAGATTTTGGCGAGATAAGGGTCATCATCTGCCATAGACAGATCTTCATGCAAGAATCTCTGAAAGTGAGTCCGTTCCATGCCCCTACCTACATAGCGATCCAGATAGGATTAGATTAGGAAACTATAATGGTCTATCTGTCTGTTAGTGACTGGATGTGAAAATCGCAGACTGCATGACAGCCATAGCCATTTCTCCCCTACCTCTCTCTGCTCATCTCTAACCCTTTGTTGACGCTTTCTGATCCAAAATTGTTCTGTGACTGCTATACTGCATTGCTATTGATCAGGGATACTCAATCTGTGAATCCTGTCCTGGAAAGGTAGTGTTACTATGAATTGCGGTTTGGCGCTGAGTCTATTTATAGCCTGTGCTAATTAGGGTGAGTCATAACTTCAATTCTGTCCACCAGAATTCCATTCTGTCAGTCCCCAGTGAATCGCAATCTAAAAATAGGCAATACTGCAGAATGGCATGATTGGATTTGCAGTATTTCACTGGATACAGCGAATACTGTACTTCGCCATACCCTAGGGTATGGACACCAGAGTCATCAGGGTCTAAATTGGAGTCTGAGCTAGGTTATAGGGTATCTGTCTGAATCGCTTGTTGTAGTTGATCTCTCCTGTCTGTGCTAACCATCTCCTATCATCCTCACTGAATACACTTGTTTTCTAGTGGGCTCCTATGTTGCGACTCGTACTCACCCCCGTACGAGTACAAGTTGTACTCATTTCTTGTACGGTACTTGTACTCAAGGCCCGTACGACTTTAAAAAAAAAAAAATTAACTGTGTTTTTTTGTTTTCTCCAATTCTAATAAGAATCTGCAGATGGTGCTCAGGCAAATGTTGCTTGTCTTGGGATTTTACATCACGTATATTTTTTTCGGAGTTTTTGGATGCCTTTTTTTTTTTTTTTTTTTTTTTCTCGTACGGGTCATACGAGGGCGTACAGGTTCCCGTACAGATATTATCTGTACGTTTCGTATGGAAAGGCCCCGTACGTGTACGTTCGGTAATGTAGGTGGGCTCTGGAAATCTAGTGTGTCTCTGGAAGAGTAGTGGAGTGACTCTACTAACTCCAGTGTGGTGCAGGGTCAGTAAAAGGAAATCGTGTGCATGATTTTGCTAGACTTATAGTCTGTCTAACACCTGACCCCAGAGAGACCCTTCCAACCCAAATCGTTGTTTGCCTATACACCCACCTATTCTAGTGTCAGAGTATTGCAGCGATTCCAGGGTGTCCGAAGGAATCTAAATATCGCTGCATACTAAGGTTGCTGTTTTATTTTGATTTTATTTTGAAAAAGGGAAAATGTCTGACCATGGGGCTCAAGTTGTGATGAAGGTGGAAGGTCAACAACCTTCAACCTCCACTCCTCCTTCTCAACCTCTGACTGCGACTCAGCGGGAAAAGAAGGAGTTGCAAGAGCAACTGCGGCGGCAACAGGACCGGCTAGCAGAGTTGGAGCGTCAGGAGGCAACTGAACAAAACGCTGCAACAGATTATTCCAAAAGGGAATATCTGTTGCAGCAGTTGGATAAGGTGCTCTCAGATGACCGCTGTGCACAGGTGACTAAACACCTGGCAGAGATGATCATCCTGGAGCACAAGATCACCAGTTCCCACTTCACGAACTGGGATGATCGTTTCGATCGTTTAGAGCGTCGGGTTGACAGCCTGGCCGCTCAGCAGTCCAAGATTTTGGATGCGATTCAGAACTTGACTGCTCAGCTGTCTGCTGCGAAGCTGATTGCTCCTCGACTCCCTCTAATAAAACCCAAACCTTCTCCTCCTTCTACCCCTCCTGCATCTCCCCCTGGATCAGTGCATTCTTCCCGGTCACCATCTCATTCCCAAAAAGCCTCAGGCAAAGCCACCTATGCTGCTGTGACTGCAGGGGATCAAAGAGGTCCCAAGATCCCTGCACCCAACAAGTTCAGGGGATGACCCCAAGACCGATGTTGGGGACTGGGCTGCTGGGATCAAAGCCTACTTGAGGGGCTTTGTCTGTGTAGAACAGACCAAGGTGGCGACTGTTCTGGGACTGCTGGAGGGACCTGCATTGAAGTGGGCCACCTCCACCTCCAACAGTCCGCAACAGTCCATGGAGGACTGGGCTTTTGGACTTGGGGTGGACAGTCTTGTGCAGGCCCTAGAGGACCGTTTTGCAGACAAGGAGCGGGCCCGCAAGGCTGCTGACAAGATTTCTCGCTTGGGACAGCAACGATACAGCGGCACCCTGTAGGCCTTGTTTGCAGAATTTGAGAAGCTTACCTCCACCCCTGGGTTGGTCATGTCCACTGATGATCTGTTGACCAACTTCTGCAGGGCAGCGCGTAAGAAGTTTAATGTTGCCTTGTACAACGCTGGGTACAAGGACTGGAGGTCCAACTTCATGTTCAGGCCCCATCCTCTGACAGGAGGAAAGGTGCCTTCCCTAGAGGTGGTGGAAAGGGAAAGGCAGCCTTCACACATGCGGGAACTGCATTAGGTTCAGATTCAGATTCCCAGACTGATACACCTTCAGTTGGGACTGGATCTGTTGCTGATACAGATGTTGCAGTAGCCCTGACTCAGGCTGTTTTGGGAGTTCTGCAGCAGCAGAAAAAGTTTACCCCCATCACACCCTCATCCAGTGCAAAGGGGAAGGAAAAGGGACGTCGGCTTTCCTCTTCCCAGCGCCCTAACTTGCCCAAAGATGTCCGCATGCCAGCTGACCCTCTCAATCCCTCCACACTCCCCTGGCATGACCTCAAGATCCAGGAGGGAGTCTGGAGAAGAAGGAAGGAGAGAGGGGTCTGCCTGAGATGTGAGGGACAACACTTTCTAAA